TCAGCAGGCTGCTGGCAAACAGGACAGCAGAAAGAGGGATGAGACAATCTGACACGGCAATTGATGCAGGAAGAAAATTGATGGGAGACACTGGGTACCTCTATAGTTACACCGTTACCACATATGGAAATACAGCGGACAGCACCCTGGGATTCAAAACTGGCAGCTTCGCTGCTGCGATAAAAAAATTGGGTAGCTTTTAAAAGGAAGTTTCAGTGCAGAGATTTCACTTTCAGGAACGGCAAAAAATGGGAAACAGAAGATCTTAGTAGCGGCTCGCTCTCAGAAAAGATACAAGTATTTGGCGTTAGTGTTATTGCTTTTTTCAGAAACTCCCAAGGCAAGTCTTTGGTATTGCAAAACGCCTGCGAAGATGCGTGTCCAGACAGAACAGACACCGCGACCTGCGGGCTTTGCGGGGAAGCACGCTACGTGCAGGTGTTCTTGCCTGCCTGAAGTCAGCGTGAAAGCAATACCTGTCCTCGAGGCAGAGCAGCAGAAATGGCCGCGTGACGCGGGTGACGGAGCAGGGCTGCTGTACGCAGAGTCCTACCACAACGTCTTATGGGGAGGGGGAAATGAATCACTCAGGTCACAGTTTATCACTGAAGAGCAAAGCTACTGGCCTGCAAGCTGTGCTTTCAAAAAACACCCGTACCCTGGGGTTTGTCAGCGGTATCAGCTCTTGGCTCCAGCCTGAGTGAACACGTCTGGCTCTAAACGTTACTCAGTCACCCTGGGACAGTGACCTTGGCATATGTGGACTCGACACCCCTGCAGGAGCACAGAAGTGGGGGAAAAACATCCCTGGGAGTACTGCTTAATTTCAAAAAGTCAGTCAAACAAGTGGGGAGGCTTATTAAAAAGAAATAAAAAGGAGCAGCCGATAAGGATAAATGCTTGTAGATAGCATATTAAATGCATTGAGAATATCAAACGTTATATGAAAAAAAAAAACTTAGGGAGACAAAACCCAATGTAGTAAAAAAAAACTAATAAAGGAGTCTATCTTAAGTAACAGTTCGGGGGCAACGCCATTTGCTTCCCATGAAGCCTTTTTTTCCAGTTATTTTGGGGGAATTTAACTATAGCAGGAAAAAAAAAAAGCAGTAAACCTCCTAGGAAAATTAGGAGAAGGAATCAGCTTAGATTAGTGGGAATAATATCTCTGGAGAGGAAATAAAGCCAAGAAAACAACCACATCCTCAGAATCACAGGTCCCTACCCACCTCCTGTCGCTGGGGATGGGGGTGGAGAAGCAGAGGGAAGCAGCCTGCACCATCACAAGAACCCGGCACCATGAGGAGAGGGCAAACTCAACAGCTCCCCCGGAGAAAAACCTCTCAAGTCTGTACTGCGTGACGTTCCACGGACGCGGCTGGATCTGCGGCAGCAGTCGGCAGGAGAGCTGGGGGGCCCGGCTGCGGGAGCGACCGGGGGTTTCGAGGGGGAAGAGGCAGCCCTGCTCTCAACAGTCTGAGATCTACCCAGGACTTCTATGCAAAGAGAGCTGGGATGACACCACGACCTTTGCAAAAAAGTCTTACCTCGGCATTTTTTCCACATGGAATTGCTATCGTCAGTAGTCTAAATCACTGCAGGTCTGGGGCTGCAGAGTCACATACAAACCTTTTTAATTAACTGAAATAATCACAAGAAATAAATGCTGGTAGAGACAAGGACAGTAGCGTCACTGTTTTCTGATGCAAAATCCCACCTGTTTGTATTCAGTTTTTAAGCAAAGATCTCATCAAAGCCTCAGAAATGTGCATGTTTAAAAGAAAAAAAAAAAGGGAAGAAAAAAAAAAGAAAGGAAATGGAAATAGCTGAGTAAGAGCCCTTCTGCCACCTGGTGAAGAAATTCTGCTTTCCCCCATTTCCACCACCACAGGACCTCCCAACGTTCCTCTCCCCCACGCTCTTGCCGGTCACCCTGCAGCGTCACCTGCAGCATCACCTGCAGCAGCTGGGCCCAAGGGACACACATCCAGCTGGTGACACCGTGGCACAGCCTGTCCCTTGCTGGGGACACACCTCGGTCCTTCCCCCCACCATATAGACCTTTTATGACATCTGGAGTTATTTCAGGTATGTCCAATTTGCTTGAAACGGTCCGAAGCTCAGGAGTCATCAGGTGAAAGCACAATCCTCCTCCCCTTCGGCTGTGGCTCCCTTCCAAATCACACTGCCCTCACTAATTCCCCAACGGCAGAGCCAAGGAGCTGAAGAGGGAGATGAGGACTACGGGAAGGTGGGGTTTTGTAAATACCTATTGCACTCCCCAGGAGAAATAGGAAAAAGAAAGATGTCTCTTCACTGGTCATTTCAATGCTTATTCCTCTACATTGCTGCAGCAAAGAAATTGTGTTCTGTGTAATCCTCAGCTTCTGAAAACACAAATACCATTCTCTTGACCTGCTAGAGGTTTGTATTCATACTGCAATCATTTGTACTGCTCCAAAACGTACTAAAACTCTCTCTTCGTAAACATACTAAAACTCTCTCTATAATTTTCTTAAAAAGCAGTTTTTCTACGAACTTTAAAGACTTTTTTTTTTTAACCAGACTTCTTTGTGCTTTCTTTAGGTGTGATTGATCAAGATAACCACAAGATTTTCAAGCAAATCTGTCACAATTAAAAAAAACAATATATATACACTCTTATGAGAGAATTGGAACGGCATATTACTTGTTCTTCTTTGACAGTTGTCAAGGGCATTCCCAGGCAGATTTAACTTATTCAGCAGGCTTGTCTGAGACAAGCCAATACAGGAAACTGAAATGTCCCAATAAATGTTTCAGTTAAAATCCTGAGTAAGTTCCACAGCTAAATGATTTAGTTCAGCCACAACCTTTAAACCTAAATGTCAAGACAGGAGAGGTAAACAGAAGCCCAATGCTAATTCAGCTGAGGTACATCTTGGATGTTCCCTAGCACACTCCACTGCCAAAAAGGGGACCATTCATTGCTCATATTAATGCATGTCAAAAGTGGAAACACATTACAGCATCTGAGAAAGGAGATTGCGCTGGTTTGGAAAAATACACCTCGATTCCTGGGGAGCAAACAGAAAGATTCACGAGATCCTGTCCTGGAGATCTAGGAATCCAACAAGCGTTGGCTCTAAATTTAAACTCAGGCGCGACCATCTCTCTCCCAGCTCACGTTTCTGTTGTGGTCTGGGGGAAGCGGCTGACACGCAAGGTAGTCAGGACAACTCTTCAGTCTTCATACTCCCTCTTTTCTCAATTTGTGTCAGGTAATCGTTCAGTTTTCCCTCTTTTCTAAAGAGGGAAGAGTCTTCTAAAGAGGGAAGAGTTTTCCTTCTTTTCTAAATTCACCAACTGTAAAATTTATTGGACGCACAGCATGGGGAGTATGGTTTTCCATAAACTTGGTACAACTCGAGCACTGTCAATACCAACATCTCCACAAACCAAGCCAAAGGGTCTTCACCTTCGGCAACGGCAGGCAGCAGTTCAGAGTCGATGGCCAATGCAGAAGCTGTGGCCTCTTCGCTGAAGACGGACGTTCCCTCCTCTGGAGTAGGGCAGACCGAAACCTGTACGCTCTGTATGTTCCCCCTTCTCCCAAACACACAGCAACAATTTATAGGCATCGTTTTAAAGCCATTTTCGTACTACAAGACAGACATTTAAGACTTTCCATCCATCTACTAATTAAACACTGGTTGTCTCAAGTCTTTTGACAGTGTAACTCTTTTGGAGGGAAACATCAAAAACAGAAGTATTCCAGAGAAGTAATCACTTGGAAAGAGTTCTTGCTGATAAATAAGTGATGTGCATCACATTTTTATATATCCCTGATATTTTCAGCTGAAAGTTTCATGCTTTTCCCATTATTAAATAGCTTCACAGAAATTCAGTTAACTCTCTTTGCATTGACAGTCCATTACCATCAGGCTTAGAAGAAGCTTCTGCCTTGGTGAGGTTTCTGTACTCCTTTTAAACAGTAAACAGTTATGCTGCACTTAAAAAATAAAAATGTCATACAAAAAATAAAATTTTTTCAATTCTTGAAAATAGCAATTGTTCTTTGTATTTTCCATTCAGCTTTCACGTCAAATTGACCACAAAGTTCTTGTCTATAAGCTTCTTCAAAAATTTCTGCTCAGCGTTGATGTTGTGGTATTCATTCTAAAGAGATGTGAGGGAATAATAAAAAAAAAAAATTAAATTCAAATTATTACCAGAAGCATCACTTCGTTGTTCTTTCCTTTTAATCACCTGTGCTACTTGGAAGATGCTAAAGGTAGGAAAGCTCTGGGGAAAAGACTTCTTAGCAAAGGCTGTAGCACAGTCCCCCAGGAAAAGAGGTGAGTGACGCTACTGCTCAAAACTAGATTTTCCGTTCGGACACAAACCAAAAAGCATGATCCTTCAGTGGCAAGAAGGCGTGAGACATGGTCTCAGAGAAGTCCTTCCATTACTAAATCTCCCAATTCCTCCCCATGCTTAGAGGGAATGGCTGCGTAACCACATTTACAGCACAAGCAGTCAGAAAATGAGTAATTCTCGACATTTCACGGCAGGTTCCCGAAAAGCACACATCAGGCATTTGTAAATCGGATGCATCCTGCCAAACAGTTTCAAGAAGCCAAAACCAATCCATCCTCCGTGCTGCATCCAGATCCTGGATACACAGGAGACCACTGAGGTTAGTGGAGGACAGCACAAGGGAAGTAAGTTTACCGACAATCTTAAGACATTGAATCCAGTGAATTAAAATGAATATAATACAAATACTGCATAAAAGATTACACATATATATAGTATAATATTTACAACTTAATGCCACTAAAGAATTAATGATAAGGGTTTTTTTTAAAAGTTTCAAGATTTTAGGAAACTTACAGATTAATGTCTATTCAACTTCTGATCAACCTTACCCAAGGTTGGTATACATTGCAAAAAAGCACCTGCAGAGAGGAGCTGCAAAATGAAGGCGAGTTCAGTGTCAGAGGAAAACTATCGCAGAGCAGCAGGCACCTAGGAGTCCTCAAAGAGACATGAGAGGCTCCTATGGGCATTGTCCCTATCCTTCCTCTTCAGGAAAGGGAGGAGGATAGAAAATGGTCCCCACATGCACGGGGCACACACGTGGAAGAGAAAACTGTTCACACTGAGGTAAAGGGCTGCAACAGAGTTGTTCGGAGTACAGAGCTGAAGACAAGAGCAGAGACAAAAGAAAACAGAGGCAGGATTGTAGCAAAACAGGAGGGAGCAGAAGGCATCCCTGATGTTTGCCAACCTCCTGCTGCTCCCTCTCCTGATGAGTTGTGGCTTCCCACCTCCTGGAAGCAGTTCTTTCTCTTCCAAGCCCCCTCCAAGAGCTACTTTTCCTTTCTGTTTTCAATTTCCGAAGTTCAGTTCTTTTCCTAACTGCAAGTTTGTGGGTCTTAACTCCTTCCATTTCTCTTTTCTCTTTTTTCTCTTTTTTAAGAAGTTTGGCAGCTATGACAAATTGTACAAGTAGGTGCCAAGGAAAAAGAGAATGCAACAGAAACAACGCTATTCATGTTCTGACAGTGCCAGCAAATACGCCTCTATGAAGAAGAGCCTCGTAGCCTAAGGATAACACCAGCAAAGCAAAACAGAACATACAAATATAGACGTCTCTCTCACAGATGTTCCAGAATATGGTGTAGCATAAGGAACACAAATATCATTATCACATTTATCAAAAAGAAAAGCAGAGATGAAGAGATTCAAGCAATGTTAAGCCATGAGCAGCCGAACCAGGAGAAGATGGGGGGCCTTTCTGACCTGCAGTACACGCTTCTATCTATACTGACTTGCCTTCCGCACCAGCTGCATTTCTCTCAGCATAAGCAAGTGTTTGTTACCTGCATCATCTGAGACATTGTGTCGTTGCCATAGTAGTGCAAAGAACTGTTTCTGTCAGTGAAGTCGTACTTGAAGCCTGCCAGGTGGACTTCATGGCATATATGAAATGCTAGTGTAATGGCAATTAGTCCCGTTGTTGGATGCTTGGGTTTCTAAAACAAAACACAAAGAGCATGGAGACATAAATAACAGCAGCTTGACAGCCAAAGCAAATCTAAGAACGAAGTCGGTGGAAATCAGGCAGCCTGGCTCTTCTACACACGTTTGGTTTTGAGGTTTGATCCTTTCATGTCTTATAAGGAGCAAGGTACTGCCACAAGTCTTCCATGACCAGGGTTTCTGCCATGTTGGCCTTCCCTGGGATTCTGCGGTTTCTAGTGAGGGCTGAGCCCGTACTGTAGCCCTTCTCTCCACACAGGCATCAGGAAGGTCTCCCCATCCCACTGCTCAGCAACCTCCTTTCATAAAACTGGTCAGGCTTCAATATATTGGAGACCATTTCACCCCATCAAATTTGACTCCATTAGCAGATGTGCTCAGAAGTTTCTAGATGATGGAGATCCAGACGAACAGAACAACATGACAGGCCTCAAATCTTCCTCACACCAAACTGAAAAAACATGAATGCTACTGCTACATAAATTTGTCTGCATTTGAACTTTTTCAAAGCAGGGAAATTCTAGAAGAACACTGCTTTAGACCTTCCCCCACTATTTCCATTAGAAGAAAAGAAACTGTAGATAAAATTGCTCATTTCTCCCTACAGCGAGACAGCTCAGAAGTAAATGCAATGTAAAATATCAAGAGCAGGTCATAAACAGGTTTTATCTGTGCAAAATTAAGAGCACCTAACCGACAATTAGCATTTCTTACAAGAGCACAGAACAACTCATTGCAACCATCTATCCTATTTTGTGATCAAGTACATGACTGTTTTAGCAGCAGCAACAGCTAAAATGATCTGGGGAAGTAAATGAGGCAAGGTTTGTAGAGAGAGGTGAACTCTTTCATTAGACCAGCAGATGAAGCTGCAGGGAAAAAGCGTCCCCAGAAATGGACAAAACTTTCAGGCACTAACACCTTTAGCTAAAATGACAATTTTCTCTGAGACCAAATGAGCTACATGCTTTCGGTAGCTGCAATCAAACCTTAAACTGAGCACAAAGTCACATGTTTTTTGAACTCTTACCCAAGTCTCAGTTCACTTGCTGCTGGAAACAAAGCAGGCAGACCAGTACTGGACAACTCTGTGCAGAAAAAATGCAGATGCACTCGATACAGAAAAATATTTCTTTGTATCGTATAAAAAAAAAGAACAAACCCCCAGGAAAGAGTTACTAACATCAGCTCTGTAAGCCTAATTAAAGTTGCAGAACTGAACTATCACCTTTTATATAGATTTTTTTTGTACTTTTATACAACTCTGAGTACTCCAGAAATAACATCAACTTAAAATGCACTATTGCCCAGGGCTCCTGCCAGTGAGCAATATCACTTTCTGCCCCAGGGGCCCAATATCATAAATTTACTGGTGACTCTATTGCAACGTCCACACTAAACAGGACCCCAAAATTATGTCAGGAAGGCTACACGTCAGGATTAGTGCTATTTGGAAATATCAGGAATATCACGGGTTGCAACTAGCTCCGTTTACCTTTGGCTGTCATAAAGTTCACCTCAAAAGAATACACTAAAAACAGCAACGCTACCTTTAAAATGTATTGTCACGCTAGCACCCCAGCAATACCCAGATATCCTCGGCCTGTACCGAAACGTGTTCAGCCAGGCACGTTTAATGGGAAGGGGCACAGCCCTGCCTGGGAGGGCCCTGCAGCACCTTCTGACTTCAGCGCATCGGATTTTACAGTTGTTCTTCCTGGCTCTGGTAACACCATCGCAGCCGCCAACAGAGAAACGGAGAAGCTTGCTGGACTACGCACAAACGCGGACGGGGAACTTGAGATGGGCTTAACGGAGAAGGCAGAGACAGCGGGGAAAGCAATAGTGGTCTTCGGCGTCTCCCGCAGGGAGGCCGGGGGACGAGGGGCTGCAAGACCCCTGGGGTGGGGGAAGTGGGGTCTGGAGGTGGCGGAAAGGGGCTCCAAGCAGGGACGCGCTCTGCCCCAGCTCCGGGCACGGGCGCCCGGCGCGCAGGAGAGGAGCAGAGGGCACGCACGCTACCCAAAGCGACCGAGGGGCCCGTGCCTCCGTACCAGCTCCAGGACACCACGTGCACCCCTTCGGCTCGCTGACAGCACTGGTCTTGCTTCTACTCCCACTGCGAGGGGAGCACAGGAAGGGACAGCAGGGATTTCTGGAGGCCACGGATGTTCGGTGGCCCTTTGGGAGAGCGTTAGGCGCCCACCTGTTATGCTGCTTTCTTCCCACCCTCGGCTGAAGAGCTGAAATGCCACGGAGCCGCAGCAAGCACGCAGCCAAACTGGGTATTCCAGTTTGAGAGTTAATAAGGGAGGAAAAAGCCACTAGTAGGCTCAAAAAAAGAAATGAAAAAAAAAAAAAACAAAGCGGCACAGAAACTCCCAAAAGCAAAAAAAACCTCAACTCCCTCAAATATTAGAAAGATTCAACCAGAAAAAAGTTGTGGCAGATACTCCACAGTGACAGCCTGTCAAACGTTTCCACACGCGTCAGTTGGCTGATCCCGATGAAGCGGCTCTGCGCAGCGGTGTGACCCCAGGGAACCGCATCTGTGCTGAGCAGCACGTGGTCAGTCCTGACTGCGCAAGGGAGGTCTCCGGCTTGAAGTCTTACAGCCATCAGAAACATTCTTCAGTCATAAACTGACAGTTAAAATGTATTTTTATGTCCAAATTGCCAGTTAAGTCATTACAATGCTTGGCATCATATCAGTAAGTACAAGAATGCTGCTAGACGTACGCTATTAGCGCGTACTGGAATATCCTGTATGGTCCCTAGTCCCTACCCACACTCAGCAGTGTCAAACTGCAGCAGTGTTAGAATTACTAAGTTGTTGGGTTTTGGGGGGATTTTGTTTGTTTGGTGTGGGGGTTTTTTTGGTGTGGGACTTTTTGTTTTTTGTTTTTTGTTTTTTTTTTTTATTTGTTGTTTGTGGGGTGGTTTTTTGGTCTTTTTTTTTTAAGAAAAAACTATAAAACACTCTATATTTAATAATTCAAGACTCCTTAATATTTCTAGAGGCTCTTTGGATTGGCCATGTTCCGATGCCTGTCTGCTTTTCCCAATTTTGTAAAAGGCAGTAACGTCCGTCCACAAAAGTGGTCTCATTTAATACTAATTACAGAATGCATTAAAAAAAAAAAAGAGATTTTTGGTATACAAGTCTACCCACTTTCTTTCTGGATTCCATTTTCCCATCTTTTTCGAGGACCAGCTAAATACAAACTAATGCAATGTAAACCTAAAATATGTTCTAACATAGTCCACTATAATAAAGAGATAATTACCTCTGAATATACTTTTGGTTGCACAAAACTAAACGGCAGAGAAGAAAAAAGCCTACCTCCTTTTTGGGAAACCTTGTTGGGAAATGAAGCCATTCATAAGCTGTTTTTCTGGTGATGCTGGGGTCAAGAATCCTGATTTGACTAGATTTGTATATCATGTTCAGGGCTGGTTTCTTCCAAAAGCCTTTAGCACTCTGTAACAGGCAAGCAAATACACATTTTTTTAAAGGCTATAAACAGTTGGTTTTGGTTTTGCAGCAACTCTAACCAGAGCAAAATCCAAGAGCAGGCGGTTGAAGAAGAGCAGCAGCATTGAGTCTCCCAAAGTTCAACGCACATGCCAAATTGTGCTCCTGCAGGAGAATAACCCACTGCAGCAGCAGAGGCTGAGGCCAGCTGGCTAGAAAACAGTTTTGCAGAAAGGTGCCTGATGGACAACACGCACCAGCAGCGTGCTTGGAGGCAGTAAATGCTCATCGTGTGCGTGACCACGTTAATGAAAGCATAGAGAACAGGTAGGCAGAAGCTATCATTCTCAAGTACTTTGTACTGGGCCTTTCTGCGGTCTCACAAATGCTGTTTCAGGCTCCCTCCTGTGCAAGACAGTGTCAAACTCTGGCAAGCTCAGCAGAACGCCACTAAAATGGCCAAGTGGCTGAAGCACACAGGAAACGGGAAGGGTCTGAGGAGGCTGGATTTGTTCAAGCTATCTTCAACTATCTGGCAGGGGTTTACAAAAAAAGACAGGATCAGACTCTTCTCGGAGGTGCACAGTGAAAGGATGAGGAGAAATTCTTTCCAGTGAGGGTGGTGCAGTACTGAAACAGAGATTGTAGAAATGTCCCTGGAAATACTCAAAACGTACCTGCATGATGCCCTGAGAACCTGGTATGGCTTTGAACTTGGCCTTGCACTCTTTCAACATGGTTTTGGACTAAAGACCTCTAGAGAGAGGTCCCTTCCAACATTATTCTGCAATTCCACAAAGTGCGCAAGATAAAATAATCTGGGAAATGGCTGGAGCACGCATGTTAGAATATGAAACAGCGCTAGGAAGAGGATTAAAAGGTACTTCCAAGAGGAAAACTGCTTTGGGATGAGGAACTGATCAAACATGTGGGTGAGAAAGAGGATAAAAGCATTTATGGGAAAGGCATATTGAGCAGACTGACTGGGAGATCCAGTGCTTCCTCCAGCTAGGAGGACTACGGTTAAAAGCAAAACAAGATAACTCACATGAGAGGTGTGTGGCAAGCTGAGCCAAAGCACATGAATAATTAAACTCACTATTTTCTGGCCACCTAGTATCTCCCAAAGCCACTTCAAGTCACGTGGTTTGAAGACGATGAGAACAACAGTTGTATTAGGGTCATAGTGGATTGGATCCGAGAAGATGGATTCCGGGTAAGAAAGGCGGAAAGTCGTCCTCCTCCCAACATCCTCTTCGTACCCTATAACAGGGCCATTATTCATTCTGCAGAGGACAGAGACACGGAGATGGCAATGACTACCCCACCCACGTCCTTACTATGCGGTGGCTGGCACACACATTAGTCTGTCTGAGAGAGCGTGTCCAGGTACCGGAGCGTTTAGTGGCCCAGCATTTACTTATCACATTACATGGTAGATGAGCCATTACCAGGTGCACTCACCCTCTAACTCAGAGGGATCAAGCACGTACCGGAACTTGGCCAAGGTGGTTTAGAATACAATCACACAATCGCTTATTGTGTGTCACTTGAGCAAGTGGCCTTCTGATTTGGCTCAAATGCAGAAACTGGAGAAGATCAAAGAGCGTATATGGCTTGGAGAAGTACCCATTGCTCCATTCATGATCCAAGTCATACAGTAGGCAATTCAAGAATGTTTTAATACTCTTCACTGTCTACAGCATATAGGAACAGGGATTATGACTGTGTACCTGATGCCAATACATCTTTATGTTTGCTTGGGTTTGTTTGCTTGGGTTTGTTTGTTTGGTGGGTTTTGGGTGTTGGGTTCCGCCCCCCCACCCCCGTATTTGCACAGCTGGCACTGGTTTGAGATATAACAGGTTAATAAGCAGTGAGCAGGTGGGTCAGCGCTCTCTGCTCTGAGGTGTTAGAGGGGCTGTGTTTAAGTCTCCATCTTACAGTCTTTGCTTTGTGGGTGCGTTGCATATTCTTTGGAGAATTCAGGCAGTCTCTGCATGCTCCATTCCTGCCAGTGTGACTGAATGCTCAGAACAGGAGGCACATGGTTTAGGAGTAAATGTTTGCAAAGCAAGGTATGCAGACAAGGGAATATTTCAAAGTTTTATCAGAAGTTGTAATTAAATACGGAAACACCACCTCTTTGCTCAATTCACAGTAAACAAATATTATATTTGTGAAGCAGTTTTGAATTTAGAGCTGTTTTTAAGTGTGTGACACCAGTCTACACAAAAATTTCAATTTTAAGAAGAGTAGATAGATCTACAAGGAGCCCAAATACTGGAAATAGCTTAAAAATAATCCTCGGAGCTTCCTTGCATCATTATACTACAGTGAAAATAAGCACACGGTGGGGTTTTTTTTTTTTGTAGAGCACCAAGTTGTCAGGCAAGTAAAGTTTCCTAAGAATGGGGATATTATCTGGATCATATTCTATAATTTTAAGTTTATAAGGGGAGCTACAGCTGAAGAATTGCATGTATTTTTCCACCTTATCAGTATGCTTTCACATGCATGTCAAACTCCAGGCTTTGTATACAACTTTCTAGGGTAGCGCTTGAAGACTGAAATACTATTACTAAAATGAGCATTAGGACTGATGACAAGGTAACAAAAATGAGATTTTGTTCAATGTTCAACACGATGTTGAAGCAAAGTGAAATGGCAGCTCAGAAGTTTTAGTGAAAGAGCACACTGACAGGGCACCTACAGGTACACGGGCTGTTTAATCAGTTACCATCTCAGTTCCTGTACAGAAGAAACTGATTTATCTTTTTATTAATGTGCAGAAAATTCTGTTATAATTAGCCAAATAACCCATTTTCAGTTTGCTTGGCATTTGAGCTTCCCCCATGCCCCTCACCTGTTCTTCTCTGAGCACTTCCCCAGTTTCCCTAGTCCAGATGCCTCTTCTTCAGACCCCAGCATGCTCCGGTAGGTTGAGGCATCTCATAAACTTCCAGCATGAACTAACGTGCTTGAGAAAAAGGGGCAGACATCAACATCATCCTCCAGCCCACATGTGCCTTGGGAGGGACTTCCCAGCATAAACATCATGTTTAACCCACAAGCCAGCGCAGGGGTCAGACAGGTGTGGTGCGGGAGGTAAGAGGCAGGGCTGCCCGGGATGCTGGCTCACAGCGAGGGGCACATGCAGGGCTCCAGGCTGTCACATGCTTGGACCCATCCCTGACGGCAGCGTCTTGCACGTGTGCATCCGTGCACAAGGCAGACTGACCACCCAGCGATCCTTCCTCCCCTGTATCGACCAGTCTGTGTAACAACTCACTGACCCATTTTTTCCTAAATTGTTTTTAAACGAGGGCTGAGAGAGAACAAGTAAAACAGGAAGTTTTATACATTTTCATTTGTATAATAACTGAACTCCAAAGCTACTGGCTGACAGGAAAAGTTTGTTAATTCTTTGCATGTACACAAAATGAAAAGGAGATACCATTTACCTTATTATCACATCGTATGAGTCAATTTTCTCCCCTAATGTCTTATTTCGAAGTACTCCTCCATTACCGACCACAACACACCGTCGACAGGCAATGCTGTGGAACAAACAGAACTTTTAATATGCACATCTTCCCCCGCTTCATATTGTTATTAATGATATATTTGCATTTACCTGGCTTATTTACTAACTTAAGTCCCGTATCTTTTACACTCCTTGGCCCCTACAGAGCAGTCTCTCTATCACACACTGAGGCAGCTTTCAAAAAAAATGTGGCTGCATTATTTCAGGGACTGCCAGAGTCAGGAAACAGCTTCTCAATGTAAAACTGTTTTTATACAGGTCCTTTTTCTAGTGGTTTGCTGTTTCAGATCATCTAACCAGTTGGTGATACGGGTGCCATTAGATAAACCATCTCCCACAATGCTTCAAACTTGTCCCAGTCTGGGGGTATACCAATCAGGATAGAGTATGCCTGGAAAAACTAACTCAAATTAAGGTGCTTCTCCAATATTGTACAACATGAGATCCCCAGCATAAGCTAAAGCAGCAAGATTTATGTTCACAATTTACCTTACAGGCCTCTGAACTGTACATGTGAAAAACCTTAGCCCAATGACACATGTGATGGCTCTTCAAATTAATATAATCATGTTGATTTTTCTCCCTCTATTTAGAAAGTGCTGTCTAAACTTGTTTAAACACGTGCTGAAGTGCATGCTGTCATGAGGTATACACTTGATTAAAAGCTGCATTCTCATATGACTAGATTCGAATTAGATGGCATTACTAAGTATATAAAACATTGAACTACTAATTAGACCTTATACCACATCATATCAAAATAGTAATTCCTTTCAAATTTGGAATATATTCAGAGTTAAAAAGCACCCCAAAAAATATTATGCAAATGCTAAACTTATGAAAGTAAATTCTAATGGTAAGATTTTCCAAGTTATCCCAGGTTTTCTAAGTGTATCTTTTGCTCTCTACTGTCTTATTCCAATACTAGTAAAATATATACTTTGCTAAAAAAAAAAAAGCACACAGACAGGCTTGCTGGTTTTTTACTCAAGAACTTTTGCCTCTTTAAGGGAGGTTTACATCCAAGATGTAAGATTGCAAACACATCCTTACAGAACAAGCACATCATTTTTTGTTGTAAAAATGCTTCTTTATTTAGCACAAAAGCCGTTCAACTTGGTTGCAGCATAAACAATGGCAAAATAAAGATGTTGGTATTTTCTTCAGACACAAACAGGCTCACAGCTTACTGAGGATGAGCCACCTCCCAAGGTCCCACTCTCATTGTTCTTCAAATAACAAAAAGGCTCTATGCTATTTCTTACTGTAAGGGACCCCAGGACCATGTTGCAAAGACGACTATAATCTGTATTAAATGCCCAGTGTGCAACTTTATGCAGACTAATTAAGGTCTTTCTCCCAGATAGTCCAACCAGCTTTTTTCAGCTGAGGAGAGCATTATTCAACATCAATGAAAACAGCCTGTTCCAGCCGAGACTGACCGACGTCTCAGTGTACAAAGCAGTTCCCTGTATTTCCGACAGAATTGTTAATGCAGTTATGTTGTACAGCATGTGGACTAGGGAAAAGAAGCTGGGCCTCAAAGCAATGCTGAAAACCTGACGCTTACAGAAAAGGTGAAATAAGAATAAACGGCAACTGTAAAAAGCACTGTATTTCAAAAGAAACGCTGGGATGGCACCTCCTCACCTGCTGCGCTAGGACTACATCTGCTATATAAATAGTGCTGCTAAATGCAGCTTTCAGGGTGGGGTGGCATGGAAAAAACTGGCACACCTTTCCCTAGTGTTGCCTGAGCAGCTCAGTAGAAGCCAAGAATTCATAAAAAGATTTCCAGCTAATGCCACAAGTCCACGTGGCTCAGCACTTCGGAAATCAGAGGGGTGAAAAGCCGTTGCACCAGCCTGTCCTCAGTATGCCCATTCCCTCCACACCCACAAAACCCTCCCCTCCTTACTGCAGGACTGCTTCAACCCATTCATTTTCAAATTAGTTTTTCAATCTAGTTTTGAGATATCCTGAGAAAGCAGGCTGATGAACATAGTCCATCTTGCAAAGTTTACAGTGGGAGGAAGGGAGCAGAAGTTACCCTTTTCCTGAATTACGCTTTGTTACTTGCAGCTATATCATAGAGCTCAAGCAAGATCCTGGGCTACAGTGAGAAGAAACAGGAAGGAAAAAAGAAAACTGGACAAAAAACATGATCGGTAAGTGATGAAGGTGGAATGAGGGAGAAGGGGAAAAGCGCAGAATTAGCGTATGGTTGCATCACGTTTCCCTGTCATTTACAGCATGCCTCTGTAAATCACTGAAAGTTCAATCATCTCAAACCTCTGAATTGAGCATCGCCAAAAGTTATGTGGCCACAGCTGGGTAACTGAGGTACAAACCTCATCACCACAATGCAAATCCTAAACTGCTACTCATACTCCAAATCCTGTGGTACCTCCTGACTAGAGCATCCATCCCCAGTGCTTGGTGGACACCATGGTTTGGCAGTGACTGAGAACACCATGCATGAACTCATCTTCAGGTGAGTAAATAAAAAGGTAATAAGAAGCCAGAAAAATTGCTCCTAATCTTGCTGAATATTTTCTTTTATAAGAAAGATACTTTATACTCTACATGGTGTGAATTCTCAAAAACAATGTCAAGTCCATTACGAGTGATTTGTAATGTTCTGACCCTGATAAGCAGCCAAAAAGTTACTTTGAGAAGGCAACGCTTGTTCTGTCCCTTTAGATGAACTTGAAGAGATTCCTTATTACATATCTTCTAACTTTTGGCAGAGGGTATGATTTAAGAAGCTTCTTCGCTATGTGAATCCCTAGCTATTGAAATAATGCCTTCCACTCCGGTATAAAACAGAAGAGCTTTTTGGTTTCCCCTCTCTGCACTGTGCAGTTGTGATGTAGCAGGACACATTCTGGGCAGGGAGGGTGAAAACATGACTTTAGAGCTGGGCAACTGAGGTTTGCGCAGTTACAGATGCTGGGTAGCTGCTCTCAAATGAAATCCTAACTCTTCCCTCTTACTGACAAACGCAGACCAGATCTTGTTAGCGGCCAAGAACTGACTAATACTACTTGTATGGAAAACTGAGTGAAATTTGAAGTTTGATTAAGCTTTCAAACTCCAGTGCTCTTAACATGCATACTCAAAGTTATCAGCTACCTTCAAATAACGAATGAAGCATCTAACATTGGCATGTGAACTTTTGAAACAGATAAAGTCAACAAGCAGATCACATACTCCTGAGGAACTGTACATTAATATAGTCATGAATACAGTCAAACAAATCAGAAAGACCAGCTTTTAATCTCTGTCAAGCTCAGGAAGTTGAAGCGGGCCAGATCAAACAGGAAGTCTGGCACAAATGTGCTATTTCCGAATTGTCTCCTCCCCTTAGCTCCCACTGCCCCCCAGTATTCAAGTGTCTCCAGTTACAGCCATAGGTCTATGTCCACAGTAGAAAAAAGTTTCCTTTTTCATAACTTTTTCAATATTAAGAAAACCCAAACAATCACTCCAAAGGGTGAGTAACCCTCACCTTTTCTCCAAGTCAATAAATTGGCAAGAAATAAATTCAGATGTCCAACATCATCAGGTATGCTACAAGTGAAATAGACTAAATATCTAGAGGTCCAGCTTACAGCCACCAGCACAATACTGATGAAAGTGAAAAATATTAAGACCTCAGCTATAACAATTGCCATAGCAATGGTCTGAGTGACTAAAGGGATTGCATTTAGATGTTGGAGATTGGTTACCGTGCGACTTGCATCAGGATCCATTTATACTCTAAGCAGATCTCTTAACACCTAAGTGCAATCCCTTAGTCACTCAGACCATTGCCTTGTTCATGTGGTGTACAAGAGCCTCTTAATCTCAAGATCAGGCATTAGTTTACATATTTTGTTTATATGGTGAAATGCTATAGGAAACATTTTCCTAGGCTAAAAAAGAAAACCATTGTTAAATGGAAATGTAGCCTTTAAAGGTCAAAAGGCTTGCATCCTCCACATTCCACTGAAATACTGTTTCTGTGGAAAAGGAAAAAGAACATCTCAAACTCAACTCCTTTAACACACACCCCCGTAGTCAGTTGAGGAATGCAATTTCCTTTGAGGTTATTTGGTAAAAGGAGGATGCAGAGGCCACATTTTGTTGACTCAGGACTGTGTAAATGCATTTGTAAGAATTTACTGCTGTTGAGATTAGAGTCCTGAGAGTGTCCAGTGAGTAATTATGATGAAATGGGTAGAGCAGGTGTTCAGAGGTGACTCTGTGAATACACCCCTAGCCTGGAAAATCCTTCTCCTATGGGCTATTCCACTGAAGTTTGTGACACTGTTCAGTTCCAAAATGTTTTGGAGAACTAGACCTTTACCCAGTGAGAATTCCACTTAAGTTTGGAAAAAGACATTGTTTGGAAAAAAACCCTTTGTAGGTAAAACTGTACATAGTGAGTTAAGTCACACACAAAGACAGCAATTTGGTGTCAACCAACAACAAATACCATAGATTTGGTGCTCATATAGCCTAATACTTCTTAAAATACTTTATAGCAGGTTCTTCCACTTTGCCTCAAGAAAACTTGACAGGGAAATTCAGTTTGCCTTCTGCCAAGAAGGCTGAATTAGGCAGCAGCATTACAAAGCTGCCTAATAATTCTGTATTACTGGAGGACATTGTTAGGATTAGTTCCCAGAGTGTTTCACTTTTAAAAGCCACTGTATCTCCGTTAAATGTATATATAAAAGCTCTTCCCTTCTACAGTGATTCATGCCTTAACAGTACTATACACAAAATCCAATGGATCCAGAAAGAATATATTTTATGAAGTCATTGTACATTTGATTTGTTTATATTACTCCCTAGTAAATAGTAATAGTTCTCATTTTGCTTCAGTACTACTGAAGTATATTACTTTTATTAAAATGAAGCATATCTCCCAGAACCACTAAACATACCTATATCTCAGACAACCTATATTCAAAGGTTAAATACCAATTACCTTACTTTTGATCTACAGGACAGACACTTCCATTTAAAAGGTACTATGCTGTACTGCAAGTGTTTCTACTTCACAGCCAAAACGACTATAGTGCTGAACTTGTGATTTCAGGAAATTTCTAATACAACATTTGGCATTCTCCTTCAAACTCCAGACAAAAGACTAGCCTTTGTCAGCCAATTCAGTATAAATTTCCCCAATTATCACACTCCTGATGGGAGAGGAAAAAAAAATGAAACCCCCCCATTTTCTATCACCTTAAGAGTAAACCTGAACATCCTAGAAATAGATACTAAACACAGGGAAAGGAAGAAGTACAGCAGGTGAAAAAAAAGAAAACTGAGTATTAAAACAAGATAATTCTTAGGCTTGAACATCAATTATTTGTTCATATTCCACGCAAGTTTAATTAAAATGTGATCCTGGCATTTGGCCTGAAGCAACAATCTTCTGTTTGATCTCCTTGTTTAAAAAACAAAACCAAGTACAGCCAACCTCAGCACTATTTGCATTCAACTCTATTAAGAAGTCTACATATTAACATGATATATGGCAGGTTGTCAGCCTGTTTGCTAGACACACACACACACAGACAGACCCCGCAAAACCAAACAAAAAAAATCCTGGCAGAATTGGCTTCTAACCCAGAGTTTTAATCTCATGCATGGGAAGCGAGTTATCTAAGGCATGCTCCACTCCGTGCCACACCCTGGTTATTCCCAAAATGCCAGGAACAGCCTTGGCTGGCTGCTTACAATCTCCCCCATTCACTGGAAAAGGAAGCTGAGCACACATACAAACAAGGGTGTGCAGCAGTCCAGCGGATGCAGTGGCACAGGGATATGCGTAAGATTTCTTTTGCGTAGAAAGAGTCATTGATTTGCGTCTGCTTATCTCAAACATTCTCTAGCTTACACTAATACTGACTTTGAAAGAGGAGATCCCATTCAGTTTCTAAAGGGTGGTTTCACTTCCCTCAGGTATGAAAAGATACTACAGGAAGATGGGACTTCATTCAGTTAGCAAATTTCTAACACACTTATAAAAAGAAAACTGTAAGTTCAAGCTCCCTCACAGAAAAATTACTCTTGAATGCTGGTGCTCTGTATGTTTAAAACCAAACTTACTTCAATTTTTGAGTCAGTTATATATTGCTTGGACACTGTCAGTCAAATCCACATCCTGGCTAACTTGATCCATTACAGGATAACACCACTGACATTCATTTTCAGATAAATATTAAATATTAAAAATGCAATGAAAAGAAACAGTAGCAAATAAATGACCTCACCTGTCACCTTCATTGGAAAGCCCACAGTTCTGCACTCTTGAAAGGGCTAAACGAAAAAATTGCTCTAGAAAGCAAATACAAAAGAGTATTAATGAAAATGTTCAGTGCTTTCCAATATAAAAATAAGCATACCACCCTGCCTAGAGCATTTTCAGACACAGTAGTTTTTACGCGCTCTGCATAAAAACCAAGAACGCTTGTAATTTAGGGCCACAGGTCAATCAATGATGCCAAAAAAATTAAGGTTTATCCGAGCTCCTCTCTGGGAAGCTTCTCCTGCCCCAACACTCCCCTGATGGAAAACAGTACAGGATTTGTATCAAAAAAAACTTTTGTTACAGTAAATAAGTGTCATTAGAGTATCCAAGACCTGCATCCTAACTGACCTTTTTTCTTCTCCCCACCTTCAGCTGAAGCAGCCTTGACCCAGCGGGGGCTGCACAGCCAGAGAGAGCAACAGCATTATGTGCCTTGGGAGAAGACATCAAACCAGCCTGTGCTCACTGGCAAAGCTGGGCAGAGGCACCGTCCCAGCTCTCCCCCAGCAGGCAGGAGCCTGCTGGACGCTCAGCGTGCCTCTGAGACGGGGCCTCAACTCATTCCCAAACATACTTTTCCTCACCGCAACCTCAGAGATGTGGGAAAATGCACCATCCTTGTTACACTGATGGAGCGCAAATCGAAAGTCTAAAGCCCAAATCCACAGGGTACTAGGAAGGTGCACTGTTCAGTGTTAAAAACTCTGAGACTTTACAGCCCTTTCCAAAAGGGCGACCAAGACCTTTAGGGTCTCTGGCCCTCTCTACTCTGCCCTGACCAATGCGGGCAGCAGGCAAACACTTTGCATGGGTACAGCAGCCATGCCATGGCAGGAATACCCCCTGCAGCCTCAGTGACACCTCCCCCGGTGGGAGAAGCTAGCCCAGTAAAAGGGAAATTTTGCTGCTCTAACTGCCCCAACCTGGGGACTTCTGCCTCAGTAGGACTCTGGATCCCGATCGGCTTAGGCGTGTTGATCGAACCCCATCACACTGACCCAGCTAGTATTTCACCTAGCCAAGCACTAGCTAAATACCTACAGCACTCCAGCCCACACTCAAATGAAAGGAAGCTGAATAAGCTCCACTATTCCTCACTCCCACCTTTTCAGAGCTTCTCTACTAAGAGGTACAACCCCAACATCGTGTTTTATTTGTTAAAAACAGGAAGGTGCCAGGTCAGAGGGACTAAACGAAACCATTAAGCCACTGTTAGATATGCCCAAAAGGATTGGCATCAGTGAATAGGAAAGACCAGGACCAGAGATTCAGGTGGTCGTACACGCCATTTAGGTATTTCTGTTTGAAAACAAGGTACAGGGGGAACACAAACCTGCTCTCTTTATTCCGTAAGGTAACTCAAACTTATCGCTCCCGTGGAACTCCGCCACTCTGATAAAGTCATTAGCACACAGGAACGGGTATATTTTGTCAGCACTAATGAAGGGAAAAAGTAAGAAGTTTCAAATATCCACATGATGTATTTGAATAAACCAATAATTTATTAAATCACTTTTTTTAAAAAGCTTTCTTTATCATACTTCAAGTATTATCAATTTTTAAAAGAAGAAAACTCATGAACACAGGGAAAGAAAGCAAGTGACAGAAAAGGGGTAGATTTTATAATGGAAAATATAGGTAAAGAATGAGATAAAATTAGTTCTCTGCTAGTATAAGTCATACTGAGTCATTAAAATTGCATGACTGAAAGCTTATACCATGAGACAGCATATTTAAGAGAATACGTAACCCAGGAAGACAATAAATAACTTCAAGTTTGAAAAGTATGTAAGAGAGGCAGGAAGGAAAATTAAGAGTTGTTATTATTATATATGGCAATTTAACAAACAAGAATGGGATTTGAAACAAGTGTTTTAACGTGAAAATACCATCTCCTGAAGACATGAGCTTATTTGAGATGAAGCCCCATTCCAAACAAGCGGCTGGCACTTTATGGCTGTATTGACATTAGTAAGTAGTTTGGGGCAACAAGGGTATAACTATACAGGAAGAAATCATGGAGTTCTCGTGTTCACATTACGCATCTCGGGTTTATTTTACTCTCGACTCATTCTAGTAGGGTCCCACAGATTGAACACCCTTTCGCAGCTCCAGCGCACCAGGTATGCTCCTGCAGCGCACCAGCGCACCTTCTGGCTTAGCCAGAAGTCAGATGTGTGAAAGGAACCCAGTGCACATGTGCCAGGGCCACCCTGCGATAAGAAGCATGCCATGTGGTGATCACAAGGAGGTTTGCCTCAAAAAGCACATTCCTCCTGCAAACTGGAACATGACAGAGTCACACCTTACAAGCATCAAGATAGAAAGAATGGGTCACTTCTTCCTTCAGAAGACAGGAAGCACAGACAAGGGTTCTCTCATAGCAGGGAAAGGACTCTTATTACCATATCTGACAAGTCAAGCTAAATGAATGAAGAGTAGACCCAATCCTGTCACATGCTACCATGCCCTTGGCTTCACCTTGGAGGTGACACACACTCACTGAACCAGCTGACTTTCTGGGATCCTGCGTAACAGGTCTTATACTGAAATATTAACACAGAAGGTCACAGTCACAGTGAAAAAAACCTAGTGTTGATAATAATTACCCACTGCCAGCACAGGACTTGTTTCTCCATTAATATTAATAGCTGTTAAAAAAAAAACCCCTCTCTCAGTTTCACAAATCAAGTATTTCACTCTAAGCTCTATGTATTCAGAAGATCCTAACAGTAAAAAGAAAACAAAACGAAATGAAACAAACAACAAAACACCACAGCCCACACACCAAGAACTGGGCCATAGGTTAACTAAGCAAGATCAGCTAACTTTCAGGCATCATGCACTAAACACCCATATTAAATTAATAACCTGCCTTGCCATCCAGAAACAGCTGGTAAGCTTAGACACAATAAATAATTTACCTACTGCAAAGAGATTCTTAATTCTAGTTCTTCTAGCTCTGGTTCCTTTCCCATAAATAATTCTGCCAGGTTAGAAATCCTTTCAACCTCCCCAGGCTATTACCGAAGTGCACTGACCAGATCTTCAGCTCACACAAACTAGCCCTGTAAAGGAGCTACAGAAACATGCAAGAGACTTTGGCCTAGCTCTGCATCTACCTTCTCGCTGTGCATCTCCAAGTCCACCCATGCCCCCTTGCTCACCACGAGAGCTATCCTGCTGTGCCTGACAGAGACAGCCTGGGCACACTCTGGGGGCAAGGGATCTAGGACCACCTCTCTGGGCCAGGCAGCTAACTAGAACTCAAAGACTACAGGACTGCTTTGGGGAGGACAAAGTTGAGATCCTTCCATGTTCTTTAAAATAGCAGCACTGAATTAAAGACATGTTTTCTTGTACACAAAAAGGACCAAAAAAAAAAAAAGCAATGGTTTCTTTGCTTGGAGCTTTAAGACTCGATCAGCTAGGACTTGGTCTAAACATCTTCCCAAGCTTTCTCAGGGATGTACTCAATGTTTGCTTAGGTAAAACAAAGCCAACAACATAGCCTGTCTGTTTCTCATCCTGTAGAACTTCCTTGATCTCTCTCATTGAAGACTTGGACTTCTCTTGGACTTCTAATAACAAAAACTCTCAGTATTTCTTCACAAACATCTTGGATGCACTTTTGTGACCAGACACCTCCTTTGTTTTGGGTTGAAGCTCTTTTTTCATCCAACTGCTTCTTTACAAATGAAGCTTCCTATGAGTACCTTAAAGTGGAGGATGCCTACAGACAATTCAACAATACTATCAGAGGAACAAAATCATAAATAACCCCAAATTTCATTAAAATTAAACTCCACTAAAATTAAAATTCCATTGAAGGGGAAGAGTCTTACATCATTAAAGACTGGATGAATTTTTGCACATTTCATACTCCTCTTTCCAAATAACTTGAAGATATTTTCAAAACTTCTCTGGTCCCGAGCTGCTACAGAAATACTTAGCTACCAAAAAAATCTTAATCTTTTAAGTCCAGGTTCTCAATAGCAAAACAACTGAGTTTCAGTCTTGGACATGAGGGCTTCTTTTACAGGGAAAGCATGGGAAAAATAAAATTACAGCTTGTATTTCAATCATTAAAATAGTTTCACTGTTACTAGCAACAATATCTGAAAAGGAAGTATTTATTCAGTACATACACCAGCACATTGAGCTAGTTGTATGATCAGCTGAGATGCTGATCAGTGGCAAGCTAAACAATTTGTGTTGCCACAACCAGGAAAAGCAGCAATGAACACAAGCCCAAAAGCTGTACTTCCAGAGGCGAATCAAAATGTGAAATGGTCCAGAATATGTAAATAGTCCATTTCTACCTCAATCAGCACAGCCTATCCTCCTCCCCACCCTGCTTCCCACAGAAGACTCACCCCAGCAAAGATTCAAATGCTGGTTTCAGGAGACAGGTGTCCAGAGTGTTTCTTCTTTCCGCAGCCGTAGGTGGCAGCCTGCAAAAGAAGAATTTCAAAGAAATAGCAAGAACAGGAATGGGTAGCAGCAACAAGGCAGGGAAATTTGGGCAAGCCAAATTAAGTAAAAGCTGATTACTGAGTTAACACCACACCAAATTTTCATGATTACCGCTGTATTATAAAAACGGATCTTTCTCAAGGGCTTTTCTCTCACAGTGCTGCTCCAATGGGTCTACAACCGCCCTTGCTCAGCAATTATCAAAGCAGCCATAACCAGAGGTGAGATCTCTGGCCCACCTGCAGAGAAGCAGGACACCCAGCCAAACCAGATAGCATCACCAGTGCTACTCAGAGAAGAAGGGGGAGTCTTGCTTGGAGAGGGTAATAGACAGCACCACATAGGGTATTTCCAGGAAAACAAGATTCTTTGGGGATAAGTCATTCCTCTCATAACAAGGCTAAGACACTTCTAAGCACATTCCCACCTTGGTAATTTAGCCCAATTAATAACAAACATGAAGCCCAGAAGTGAAGGTGAAGTTCAGTGCGAGCGACATGTGCATCTAGGCTGCATTAAAAACAGAAGGATGAAACCACCACAGTAGAACCACAAGCCAAACAGACCATTAAGGTTAATTGCTTTTGGTAACCTCAAGTTGTCATGTGAATACTGACACTGAGAAAGCACCCTGTGAAATATATCAGCTGGCCAGCTCGCTGCTTTCCAGCATCAGCCTCTCAGACAGCATTCTGCAGGACAGCTTCAGAGAGAAGAGACCTGCTTTTAAGTTTTAGCATAAGCACTCATTAGTCCCACAAACCTAACCGAGGAATTTACTAGCACAAGATCTGCTTATGCACGCACTTGCACATCACAAGTGAACCACAGCTGCCATTTATTAAATTTTAAGCACAAAAAGTCATCCTCACTGAGGGTGCTAATTTTATTCAGATATAACTCAGAATTGCAGAAATTTGGAAGTTGTAAACAAATGTCTTTCCAACAATTCATTGCTTGTTACAGACAGTCACCGTAAGTGGCCATAAATATTAACCAAACACTGGAAACATGACACAGACAAATTCCTTCTGCCAGACGCGTTACAATTGTGTTCATAACAGAAACAGTCAATGGACACAGCTGTACAATAACCAATTTCACAGGGAGCCTATGGACAAAGGCTATAGATTTTAGTCTCAATCCCTCTCACCTACTCAAAAACCAACCACCCAAAAAAACCCCACCCACCACAAAAAAAATTAACTGCTGAACTTACTGGGTAACTCCACTAGTCTCATAGGAAGGAGAAGCCCTCACAGCGGAATTCTGTCCATAAAAGCTAATCCTGCAAACAGGGAAATGTCATAACACTGTGGGTTGCTATAAACGGAAATCACAACAGAAAGCCATTCATATCAATTGCATGCTATACACAAGACAAATAGAAGCACATCAATCACTACTTTTAAAAGCTATCATGATTATCTACATAACACAAACACACTGGTCAGTCCCTGTAACAGCTGTGCGAAGGCCAATGGAAACTCAACTTCTTCGATAAGGACCCTGAATTTTAGGTTGCAAGCCACCTGTGCAGTGCATCCTGGAGACAGTGAAGGCTCACTTCGCACAAGGTTGCCGCTGGGACTCAACAAATTTTAGCTTTTCAAAAGGTGCCCATTACACCTGCAGTTATTCCCGTGTGTGGAGTAGGTCTCTCCCATCATCATTTATCAGACACCTAAAGGAACAAGGTAACACTAAACACGTGGAGTGAGGTGCAACAGGGACACAACACACATAAATAAGATCACTCCTCACCTGAACACCTATTTTCGTGAAACACAGAGGGGCTCCGTATCTCTGAGGTCCTGACCTCTCCATACAACTAGGCTCAAATCAACTACTAGGTTTAAACGTGACACGAGGCAAGGGGCGACAGGACAGAATGATCATTCATTCCCTCACCGTACAAAAAAACCCAAAACCAAATACACACACTAAACACAACCACAAAACACACAAAGTAGCAATCACTTCTGTTGATTACTAGTGAACAGTTGTTCAGCGGCACAGCAACTCACAGCCATATCTCTCACATAGCCATGAGGGTGCCTGCACTATAAGTGAACAAAACATCACCATACCAGTAGAGGTTATTTCTCCACAGATTTCCATGCAGTATACCATACATAACAGCAGCAGCCAGGATAAAAAACAGAAGAATTCGTTTCATGACTGGTAGACCTGAAATGTAAGAAAAAACAAAGAAAACAAAACAAGAAATTTAAGTTCAAGTTATGCTATTGAAATGAACTTTTATAAAGCATCCTGAAACCTATGAAAGGAAAATCATCATTATTACAGCCATTCTACACCACCACAAACTTGATGGGAGATCACTCTGGTTTATTTCTCACACAGAGTCCCAGTGACAGGAGTTGAACACTGCTCTGCACCTACCACACATGCATACTCTGCACAGTAAAACAGAAGCATTTAGAGTGGCTCACTCTAGGTTGTCCCTGAAGACACATGAGGAAGATGGGCTCCTCCAGAAGCATGTCAGAATAGGAGCTCCTTTCTGTCCACAGACAGCCCAAAGAAACTGTCCTCTTGGGTCAGAAGGTGACCTTTACAGGTACCTGCGCTTCTCTTTCTTGCACCACCCACTATCAGTTTCCATAATTACACAGTTAAACAAGCATTGGCACTTTGCAGGAGGCGGATAGGCTGCTGCCGATGAAGCAGAACAGGGTATGAGCTGCCACACATTGCTACTGGCTTTTTTAGGATCACTGAATATCCTTAAAGTCTGGGTTTGGACATTTAAAGCTGCATTGAAGCTGCCTGCTTATGTCCTCATGTCCTGCACAGTCTCCACCTTCTGACACAGGCCAGATTTCATTGCTCAAGTGACAGAAAAATGCTATTTTCACACATTGCCAAAGTTAGTAAGTTCCACAGATTGAGTCCTAAGTGATGGAGAAATAGCGGAGAAAGTGTTCATTTTTCAAAGAGTTTTAACCTCATTACACAGTCTAGTAAAAGAAAACCTGAGAAATATTAGAAGCTCCCAAGACATGCCGGGGGAAAAGCAAGTCCTGCACTGCTCACATCTAACACACTGAGCTGCTCTTTCAGTAGCTATGAATGAACTGTTGTTACTTAATCTTCTGAAAGTCAAAAATAGCCATTCTGGCCACAAATTACTGTGGAAATTTCATCAAGAGCCATATTATAGAATCATGGAATCTTTGGGTTAGAAGGGTCCTTTAAAGGTCTTTAGTCCAAGCCCCCTGCAATGAGCAGGGACATCTTCAACTAGACCAGGCTGCTCAGAGCCCCGTCCAACCTGACCTGGAATGTCTCCAGGGATGGGGCATCTACCACCTCTCTGGGCAACCTGTGCCAGGGTTTCACCACCCTCATTCTGAAACACTTCTTCCTCACATCTAGTCTAAATCTGCCCTCTTTTAGTTTACAACCATCATCCCTTGTCCTATTGCAACAGGCCCTGCTAAAAACTCTGTCCCCATCTTTCCTATAAGCCCTCTTTAAGTACTGGAAGGTTGCAGTAACATCTCCCAAAAGCCTTCTCTTCTCCAGGCTGAAGAACCCCAGCTGTCTTAGCATTTCTTCATAGCAGAGGTGTTCCATCCTTCTGATCATTTTGGTGGCCCTCCTCTGGACCTGCTCCAACAGGTCCATGTTTGTCCTGGGCTGTAGGCTCCAGAGCTGGACACAGGACTCCAGTGGGGTCTCACCAGAGCGGAGGGGCAGAATCACCTCCCTCAACCTGCTGGCCACGCTTCTTCGAATGCAGCCCAGGATACGGTTGGCCTTCTGGGCTGCGAGCGCACATTGCCGGCTCATGTCCAGCTTTTCATCCACCAGTTCCCCCAAGTCCTTCTCAACAGAAAGGACCTGCTGCTCTCGATCCCTTCCTCTCCCAGCCTGTACTGATAACTTCACTGATACCCTATTATTTTCATTCTCCCCCTGTCATGGTAAGCAGGTTCAATGTACACAATGCATAAACACCTACTTACATATCTGTGGTTTAAAGTGAAGGTAACAAACAGCTGTCCAGCAAAAACAAGCCATATCCAAATACACTGCTGCATTTTCCAGGAGCAGAGCCTTTAGCTTTATGGTTTGGGTTTTTCCCCTCCCTTTTTTTTTTCCCTTTTCTTCTTTTTTTATATTCCATGTTGCTTTTTAGAGTATTTAAAGTTGCTGTTATTTTAAACCTGTGTTAAACAGTCCTAAGGCAATAAAACTCAAGGTAGATACAGTCCAACTGATTTATAGCAATATGCTTTACACTACTAACATCTTAACATCATACTTCCCAGTAAAGGCCAAGAAACTACTGGAGCACAGCATTCCGTTATTAGAGATTGAGAAGCAAACTACTGCCACCCACGTAGTTTCACCTCTGAAGAAATACCTAACAGTGAACCATTTGCTACAATGACTTGAGTGCGACAAGCCACCGCTTCCTTATTTATCCCCTCCCACCTCCCATATCCTTCACAGGCGTTTAACTGTAGGGTCAGAGATGGGATTTTATAACAGCATCTACCAGTAACAAAGCCATGCAACGGCAATTATGGCAAGCTATAATCTATCCATGCAACGGCAATTATGGCAAGCTATAATCTATCAACCTGAAGTATATCCTCCAGACTGTCCAGCTCTATTCTGGGTGAAACGCTCACAGGCTGCAGCTGTTGCAATTTCAACCTTTCAGCCCTTCTTGGGAAGTAACACTGCCTCCCTCACAGCTCCAACTCTCTTGACTCTTCCTGAAAAGTCGCTGCATCTTTTTTTTTTTTTTTTTTTTTTTTTACATTCTCAACTTCTGGAGCAAACCCTGAGTTTTTAGCATAATTTTCTATGAGTATTTCCCTAAAACTGCAAGAACACTTGAAGAAAACTCACCTACTGCGTTCAGTCAAGTGTCATTAACAGCAATTGAGTCATTTACTTGAAAAAGATACTGTGCTCCCTGGGTTCTTCCTTTCACCGGCAGCATTTTTACCCCCTTGTGTTTTGCAAAAGTTTGCTAAAATATCCCACCAAAGTGGAAATGACTGTTTACTTTTTATTCCCTAATTCAATCAATGCAAATTTCAGTTAAGCATAATGAACCAGCTCTTCAGATAAAGTTGCTAAATTAACAACTGATTAAATTGCTGATTTTGCTGACTTCAATGTAAACAAAAAGCTTGCTGAAGAGTCAGACCAAGTTACAAAACAGACAAGGCAAAGCTGCCCATAACAGGGTCTTTTAAAAACAAAAGTATTATTCATAACACTGTTATTCACAGAGAAAAAAAAAGTTCTGTTTGTAAACTATTTACAAAGATATTCATACAGCCTGCAAAAAAATCATTAAAACAAGAGAATATAACACAACATCATTCTTCAAACAGGATCCTAAGGAATCTGTGATGACTTTCAGCATCTTATGTAGGACATTCAGCCTGGCACACACATGAGATGTGGCATCGTTAAAGGTGTACCTAACTCAGCTCTTAGGAAGATAAAATGATCTTTAATTATACAAGTGTCTTCTCACAATCCCATCCCCCAGTGCTGGGCTTCATTCAGTGCTTTGAAGAGAAAGTTCCACAGCCAAGACAGACGGTTGTTTCAGTAAAGACTTTCTTAACCTGATTTAGTCAACAGAACCATTGCCTTGTTTATGGAAGAAATTATTCTGGGTGTATTTTTAATGGTGACAGCATTTTCCAGCTCTCCCTATTTTAAAATAGCTGAGTGTTATAGAAAGTTAATCAAAGGACAACAAACTCCTACAATGCATATATTGCACTAGAAAATTCCCATAGTCAGAGGTGCAAGAAAACAGGCAATTGAGAAGACATCGTTCAGATGTAAAATGACAGTCACATTCCAGCTTATTTATCACAAGACCCAGCATCTTCACTTAAGCTGATCAAACTGACTGACAGAGGTCATGGTGCCCTTAGGTCAAGGTAGGTCAGGGCTAAGCAAAACAAGGAGGACAAAGCTGGAACTTAACTATTCCATTCCTTCTTCTTTCGAAAAAGCCTACAGTGACGCACACACAATGAAAGGGGAGAGGAACCCAGCAGGCCAATGCCTGACGTTCACCGTGTTAGCTGGTCGATCTTCTGAAAGCAAGCAAGCAATGGGATGCATAAGTCTTGTAAAAAGATTCACCAGCATTTTTAAATAGGAATCTAAGCTAACTTCTGCTGTTCAACTTCCCACCCCTGCCAAGGCAGAGCTACAATTACAGAATTAGACAAGACAGAGTCTGTTACAGTATTAAAAGATCTCAGAGATCAGCCTGCATCTCCTATGGATCGATGGGTCCAGCCCAGTTCCCACCAATCCACCACAGAATTGCATTTGGGTATATGACAAATTAGCTACATAAGCCCCCAGAGTCTAATTTTTTCTTCCTTTCGTAGAAGTGGGAAACCAATATCCTTGTCAGAGCTGCATCTTTTCTTACAATTAGTCTTTACTCTGCTACTTCTGTAAGTGTGGGATCTGATAGAAGCCACTATCTTATAGCCTCTGTTTATCTTTCAACTTACACGTAAGTTGATGTAGCCATGCCACCGAAAAAAATAATCACACAGGAAACTACTGCTGTTGGACTAGGCAATTACACAACCACACCTTTTTTCATAACACTTGTAAACCATTTTTTTGGTCTTGCTTAAAATTAGGTTGTTGATAATACAATGCAGGAGGCTTTTCTGCCTGTCCCACTTATTTTATAAAGCACCTCTGACTATCACTAAAGTAAATAGTCAATAAATATTTAACTAAAAAGTGGTTACTACTAAATTAAATACTACTCATCTTAAAACAATCTTAGCTCCATACCTAGCCTTGTGACAGTTTAGCTTCTTGCTGCTGTAATTAACTGACAGCATGAAAATTTCAGCACTCAGACCTCCAATTCCTAGCCCTTATAGTTGTGGGGGAGGAAGAGCTTGAAAGTGTGCTTTGAGTGGAGCTTGAAATTTAAAGGGACAGGGGAAAAAAGCACATAAAAACCTAATAAAGTTTTAAAAGAAACATCAGGACTTTCAAGATGTAGTCAGTATTTTGTGGGCTTGCTTGTGATCACCAGTCTTGCAGCACTTGCTTCTTTTTGGTCAGGATGTAGTGCATGTCTGGTGGAACAACTATGCAGCAGAAGGATGACCAAGGAGGGAGTTTTCTCATGTCATGATTTGTCTCTAGTTAAGCTGCCAAAATGTGAGCACATTATGGCATGTACCTATGTATTTCTCCCACCAAATCCATACACCATTCATCATTAACTCTTCCAGTTCATGCTCCAGGTATGTGCATAGTTCATTAATTCTCCCCCTCTTGGAAGGAAACACTGTAGCGGACAATGTAATAGCACTGCAGCAGAGCCTTAAAGGTACTGAAGAGGCTGAGTCAGTCTAGCAC